AGCCAACACGTTCTATTTGTATTAGATCTCTGAGGAAGGCCTGTAAAGGCTGAAACGCGTTAGGTCTATTTCATCAGCCTTTGTATGTTTTTATATTTATATATGAGGTATGAATGGGCCCTTATTCGTTATTTTGTTTAATAAATACATGTATATTTTTTAGGTTTCATAATTAGATTTTAAGAGTTGGCCCTCTTCTATTCTTGACTAACCTTTATAGGTTCTGAATTCTAGGTTTTAGGTTCAGTCTTCCCCCCCCCCCTTTTTTTGTCCCCACTTAACCACTATACCAGTCTTTTAAATATCCTGATCCCATACTATCTAAAGCTTTAAATGTGATAACCAGCCCTTCAAGTTTTGCCCAGCAGCAAATTATCAACTAATAGGGCTCTCTCAGGGCAGACAACTTGTGCTGGTCAACGGTCTTGTTGCTGCACTTTGCACCAACTGAAAGGTCCATGCAGTCCTCAGAGGCATCCCCATGTCAAGCACATTGCAAATAGTCTAACTTGGATGAGATCATGGCAAGGATAATTGTGGTCAGTCCTATCCCTCAGAGAGAGGCTGAAACTGGTGCATCACCCAAACTTGGCTAAAGGCAGTATAGGCTGCAGGATGAGACTTGAGCCTCAGTCCCAGTCCCTGAGAGTGCATCCAATAAGCACCACCAAACTCTGAATCTGCCTCTTCAGGGAAATGCAGAACTTGCCATAATGGGCTTCCTCTCCAGTCCTTTAGTTATTTAAATTATCAGTCAATAGCGCAATTTCGTTTGTTAGACAGAGCTTCATTGTATTGGTCTTCATGCAGCCCATCACTACCTTCATATGCTGGGTCAAGCATAGTGCACCAGCTACACTGCAATTACATTAACATTAGGAATGGCTGTTGAAGCCCATATCATAGGGCTGGACTGGCTGTTCCATAGAGAAAGTCACTGTGTTTTGGTTTTTCCTCTTTTTCCTTCATCACAGGTGCTCCAAGTCTAGCAGAAGCTACGATGGAAGATCCGAATGTCTATATGAGTAGATCAGTTCCCGTGGTAGCCAGAGCCAAACAGAGCCACTACACCATGCTGAAATACACACAGTGGCCCTGGTGGAAAAAGCTTGGAGAAGAATTCTTAGATGATGAGGGAGTCTCTGAAGATCTTCTGTGTGCTGAAGTAGGAACTCTGTTCATTGGTGGGACTAAATCATAGGATAATTAGGAGAAGACAAGCTGGCTAAATGCTGTGTGATCAAGCACAAAGATGGGGGGGTGGGGGTGAACCAAGTTTGTCCAGCAAGCCAAAAGAAGGTTTCGTTTTTCCACACAGTTCAGGAAGAACTCTCTCAGCTATCTGGATTGGGGTTAGAATTCTGTGTATGTGCTAAATTCTGATACCAGCAAGTCTGAGTTCTGCAATCCAAATGAGTTAGAGGAACTATCGTATTCTAAATTTGTTCAGTATAGTTGTAACAAATGTTTATAGAATGTGTGACTTTGTCAGCAGGGCTTGGATGGTGAGTATGAAGGAGAGGAGAGGCAGGGTAGTTGTCTGTGTTTGCAGGGGGGGGCAGACTCTAAGGGATGTGAGACAAAAACAGAACAGTGGAATAAAAAGTTTCAGTCCCCCACTTCAAAACTATCCCAAATTCCTTCTGGATTTGATTTCAGGCATTTAAAGTATATTTATATTGCTGACTATTTTTATGTAATTTTTTTGTGTGTGAACTGCCTTAAGTGCTTATTTTGGGGTTAAAAAGGGCAGTAATAGAAATAAAGAAGTTTATTTAGAAAATACATATAGGGTGTGGTCAGATGGCGTGCTGAGAGCGGGTTAAACTGCTGCAGTTCTATTTATTTATTTATTTATTTGACACATATCCGGCCTTTCCACATGGGCTCAGGGCGGCTAACGAGGCAATTGCCATTTGTTGTTGTTCAGTCGCACAGTCGAGTCCGACTCTCCGCGACCCCATGGACCAGATCCCGCCAGGCCTTCCTGTCTTCCGCCGTCCTCTGAAGTTTGCTCAATTTCATGTTCGTTGCATCTATGACACTGTCTAACCATCTCATCCTTTGCCGTCCCCGTCGTCTTTGACAATTCTTTGACAATTGCCATACATAACAATAAAACCAGGTAAAACAATCAAATTGCATTTTACATTTAAAATCGGTGCTCACAACAATATATCATCCGAGACTCCAGTGCAATGTTTCAGGGGGCACTACTTCTTGATCGGTCTCCACTCTGTCCGTTCTCCATTCCCAAGGCCAGTTCACGTCGCCAAAATGGCAACGCGGTGGTGGTACAGTGACAGTGGCGGCTCCTATTCAAAAGCCTGGCGGAAGAGCTCCGTCATGCAGGCCCTGCGGAACTGCATAAGGTCCTGCAGGGCCCTGATCTTCTCCGGGAGCTTGTTCCACCAGATAGGAGCCGCTACCGAAAAAGGCCTGGCCCTAGTCGCAGCATAGTTAACATCTCTAGGGGCTGGGACGACCAAAAGATGTTTTGCCCCAGACCGTAGTGCCCTTGAGGGAACATATGGGTAAAGGCGGCCCCTTAGGTAAACTGGACCCTGGCCGTGTAGGGCTTTATAGGTAAGAACTAGCACTTTGAAGTGGACCCAGTACGCTATTGGTAGCCAGTGCAGCGCCTTCAAGACAGGCTGGACGTGATCCCGCCTCGAGAGACCCATCAACAGCCTGGCTCCTGCATTCTGCACCAGCTGCAGCTTCCGGATCTGCGACAAAGGCAGCCCCATGTAGAGAGCGTTGCAGTAGTCTAACCTCGAGGTGACCGTCGC